GGTTTCTGATGGGTCCATCTCCATGCAAATGAGGACTCCAAATACCCACAGCTTGATTGGTCCAAAAGACACTGTCCCGACTGGTCAGAAGGGAGCCGCTCTGATTGGCCAGTAAAGATGCCGATAGGGCTATAGCTGCACTGCTCCAATTGAAAAGGGAAATAAGACTCCAGGAACGCCTCTGTACCTGACTGGCTCGGAGGGCAGAAACACCGTGCAGGCAGGCAGTTCAGTGCTGAGGCAGGTAGCTCAGGGCAGGCTTCTCCCTGAAGTGCAGTTTTCATGAGAGGCCCTTGTGTAGAAATGCCTGCGAAACTGTTTTTCTTTTTTCCTTCCTTCCTTCCTTCCTTCCTTCCTTCCTTCCTTCCTTCCTTCCTTCCTTCCTTCCTTCCTTCCTTCCTTCCTTCTTTCCTTCCTTCCTTCTCTCCTTCCTCTCTCTCTCTCTCTATCTAATTTGAGCCCAGTTAAACCACCAGGAGCCCTCCTTGGTGGGTATCTTTTTTTTTCTTAGGGTCCACAGAGGCAAAGGCCATGTTCACAGACAAGGTAAGGAAAAGTACAAGGCAGCTCTGAAAAGGGTCAGTAGATAGTGCAAGAACTGTCAGCATTGGCTGTGGTTCAGGGCTAGCTTTCTGAAAGCCAAGAGATAAGGAAAAATTCAAGGATTGAGAAGAGCCAGGCAGAATGGGACCTATGATGTTGTATGTGGCCTGATTCTTCACAACCTCTCTGACTTTGTCTCTTACATTGTATCTTAATCATCCTCGGTACCTCAGCTGAAGTGGCCTTCTCTCTACTCCTCAAAATATGAACTATGCCCCAATCTAAGGGTTTTTGCATGTGGAATTCCTTCTGTTTTAGAATAATCTTTAAATAGAAACTCACAGCTGATTTCTTTTTGGGCTTTACTCAAATTCACTTTCTTGTGAGCTCTTCTTTAGGAACCTCATCTGAAATTTCAACCTTTTATTTGAACACTTAATATCCTCTTTGCCTGCAGGAATTTTTCTTCTTAGAACTTAATTTCTAATACAACATGCCTTTTCCTTAGCTATTTTGTTTATCATCCATTTTTCTCAATAGAATGTAAGCTCCATGTGAGCAGGAATTTGTGTCTGTGTTCTTCACTATCATCAGAACCAAGAACAGTACTGGTCACAGAGCAGGTTCCTTATAAATACTAGTTTAGGAAACCAATAAGTAAACATTATTTTACATAGCAGCAACTTATAAACCTGTTAAAGAGGACTTCTTCCTTTAAAGACTTTCTTTACTGCTTTTCCAGAATTACACATTTCCCTAATTATTTCCATTTCACTAGCTGCTTTTTACCCCATTTGTTCCTCAACATCCAAGACCATTAATGTTGGAGTGCCTTAATGATATGGGTTGAATTGTGACCACCCCAAATTTTATATGTTGTGCTCTTAACCCATAGTACCTCAAAATGTGACATTGTTTAGAGATATAATCTTACAGAGGTAATGAAGTTAAAATAAGATTGTTACCATGGACCTTAATCCAATATGGCTAGTATTTTTCTAAAAAGTAAATTTGGAGACACACACACACACACACACCACCATGTGAAGGTTAAGAAAGAAATTGAGGCAATTCCTCTATAAGCCAAAGATTGCCAAGAAACTACCAGAAATCAGAGAGATCAGATTTCCCTTCACAGTCTTCAGAAGGAACAAGCCTTGCAGGCACCTTAATCTCAGATTTGTACCTCCAGAGTGTGAGACAATAAATTTATGCTCTTTAAGTCCCTGAGTTTGTTGTATGTTGTTATGGCAGCCCAAGTAAGAGAACATACCCAGGGATCAGGTGTTGAGATCCTGTCCCTTGGTGTTGTCATGACTTGTGCCTTTAAATCTCATTTGTCTAGTGAAGTCTACCAACAGTTTACCTCCAGCCCAGTGTCTCCTCAAAAATCCTCATGTATATCTTCAACTCTGTTCAAAATCACCATTCAAATGTCCAAATCTAAATTCTTCTTACTCTGGAAACTTTTTTCCCCGTCTTTTTCATCTTAGTTAATAACAACATGATCCTTCAAGTTGCTTGGGTGGATACTTTGGAAATACTCTGGCCTTTTCTCTTTCATATCTCACACAAAAATCAAATATAACTCTACCTCTATCATGACAAAAAACTAGTGCCTGGAATTTTAGAATGAAAATAAGCTATTACTGTGTCATTTAAAGAATCAGAACGATAGAACTTGTGTGCAATGATAATCAAACATCTTTATTTTCTGTTTAACTTTTTACAGTCATGTTGGAAAAATAGTTGTGTCTCCAAATGTACTTGCACTGATAGAAGCTGGTATGACCAAAGCGTTCTTTGAGTGATTATCAAAAAAAAATATTTATCACTGAAAAGCAAATGTTCCCTTCAGTTTATATTTGACACATACTTTACACAAGCACTAAGGCCCGGTCCAAGATCAGAAGTATAGGCCATTCTCCTTTATTGAAACAATAGGTCAGAAGAGAACGATAGGCATTTAGAGCCAAACTTGTGAGATTTTTAATCCCATTCAAAATAAAGGTTGCCTAAAAATGTGGAATCGCATAACATTTAAAAAGAAATCTTTTTTGAAGAATGACTTTTTATCTTGGTTTGTACTCTCTTAGACATTATGAGGTTTATTTAACACAGCATTCTAAGTGCTTCACATTCAAATTTGGACACACTGATTATCTGTTCCACTCTTCTGAATATTTAAGGAAGCTCTATAAATAAACACATCAATTTGCTCTATTATCACCCTTCCAAAAAGTCTCATATAATTAGAACTCTCCTAGTATTTTCTTATCATTAAATATATTTGTGTTATAAAGGATACACAGCATATGAAATTACAGGATTTTCACAAGTTAAAGACAAATTTAAGAACTCTCAAATAATATTTGTAAAGTAAGCAACATAGTGATTACATTAGCTTAAAATAAATCACAACATTCACAACACAGCATTTATTTGGTTTTGATATTGAAGATGTTTTCTTGAATTACTTATGTAGAACTCAAAACATAATTACTTCATTTATCATTTGCTTCAAGAATTCTGGAAGAGAGAAAAATAACATATAAGCATACAAATATTTTTATTTATGGCATCTCAATTTCATTCACGTATCCACTTATTAGACCCACATCTATTTCTCTTTGGCCCTTGCCAACAGCCGGTGAAGGAGATCATGCCGAGCGATGCCAGGAGGGCACCTTCCAGAGGCCCGATCGTCAGGAAGGGAACTGGGATGTGAAAGGACTCCCTGATCAGTTAGTTACTAATAATTACCCATTCGTAATTTTCACAGATGGCTGACCCACAAGATTTTCTATTAAAAGAATTTGTCTAAAGCTATCCATTCAAAAAAGAATGGAGGTGTGGCTCAGTGGATTGAGCGCCAGCCTGAGAATCAAAGAGTCGTCGGTTCGATTCCCAATCTAGGGCACATGCCTCAGTTGCCGGCCAGGTCCCCAGTAAGGGGCATGCGAGAGGCAAGCACGCATTGATGTCTCTCTCCCCCTCTTTCTCCTTCCCTTCCTTTCTCCAAAAAATAAATAAATAAGATCTTAAAAAAAATAAATTTAAAAAAGAATGGAAAATGAGTTCACATAATTAATCTTACACGTTATTAAAAAAACAAAGTCATTTTCTTTTATGTTTTAGTTTCTGCTATATTATATAATGTAATGAAGAGACCATATTTTTGTAAACATATTTTCAAGTAACTACATGAGATTACCATACTTTTTTGAGCAAAAGGGCTCATTTCTCTGAAATCTCCATTTAGGAACATGAGTGGGCACACACAGTACCCCTGACCATGCATGCCTCTTAGGAGTGAAGGGTAATCAGTGGACACAAGCCACCAACTGTGCAGGTATCTTCCTAGACACTCTGTCCATTAGTGAGGATTCTCATAAAAACCAGGAACTGAGTAAGACAATGAATTATATTCAGCCTGAGCTTGGGTCTAGTTTAATCTTGACCCATTCAGGGTTGTAATTCAGCCAACTTTCATGTATTATAAATAAAGTTTTATTGTAATGCAGCTACTTTCATTCATTTGACATATTTTTTGTAGAACGATTCCACTACAGTAGCAGATGTGACTATTTTTAACAGAAACCACAGAGACTGCAAAACAAAGAATATTTACTCTATAACCTTGAGAGAAAAATGTTGCCAACCTCAGATAGTGAAGATGTAAAATTTCTTTAAGTACTTGCCAAGTATTAGAAATACATGCTTATGAGCTAATGTATGCACTAATGTGCTCAGAAAAAAATATGACTTGTACACATAAAAGCAATTGTGGAAACAAGTTTATGACTCAATAAAGGAAAAAACTGTTCATGTTTTCTCTACTCAAAAAATTATTTTACAGTGAACACTACTGGAGTCATAGTACCTATACTCACTTGATAGTTAAAAGAAGGTAATTTTCACTTTTTCTGCATGATGCTTGCTAGGTTTAAAGGCACACAATTAGACCCAGGGAGCCCTGTATTTTCACAATAACAAGCCGTGCTGTGATTTGGTGGCATTTCCCTGCACTTAAATTAAATGAGATGCTAGTAGTCAATTGTGAAGAAAAAACCTTAAATTAATAAAAGCAACCTGGACTGATTCTCAGAAAGCCAGTTTTTTCATTAGTGTGAGTCAGTCTTCTCCATTTTATATTTTGACAGAGAGGTAAGAATATGTCTGAATAAACCAGGACATACAAAACTGTTTACTCATTGAGATGTTTCTCTTTCATGTAATCAGAACCTTGCATGAATCATTTTAAGCTGTTTACTGGGTTGCAGTTCCCTTCTACCTGAGGGAGTTTGTGCAGTTTCCTTCTTACATGAGGTCTCATTGTGAAAAGTCAAAGATATATACATTACCAAGTGACTCTGACCTATTCAAGTAACTAGATGATTCCTACAAGAATATGTTAAGAATGCACAGATATACCCACCACTGGGAAGTCGTCACCACCTTTATTCAAAGATCCTTTTCATCATTTTTCTAGCTCTTCAAGAAAGTCAGGAGATTCCCCCTCAATGCTGTAGAGTAAAAAAGGAAAAATGTGCACGTTAAGGCCATTAGATGAAAAAGCATCTAAAGAAATGATAATGTATAATTTATGCAATTTTCTGTGCCCTGTAAAGAGCTCTGGAGGGGTAAATAATTATCTTTTAGGTTAATTCTTACCTATGAATAATTCTTCAATTTTAAAGGGTCTAAAATTATTCTTACACAATTTTAATTTGGTGAGCAAAGAGAGTTGTCTTGTATGACCTCACCCAACCAGGGTTGGCTCACTATCTAAACAAAAGTAATCAAATTAAAAGAGTGAGAACACCACACTTTGTATTTATTGTGCTCCCAAATTTACATAACCCAGAGAGACCAGGTTTTACAGAATCTGGGAAGACAAAAGAACTCATCACTTAATTTGGTAAAATAAGGGAATTGGAATACACATAAAAGGAGTTCTATGTGATAACAAATTGCTAATTGTGCTTTATATGTTTTAAAACATCAGCTCTGATAAAACCTGATTCCAAATTCAGACTAGGCACCTCTACAGTCATCATTTTAAACCCTGGAGGCACAACAGAATTAACCAAGGAGCTCTCAGGAAAAACGAATGGCTAGAACCATATCCATAAAGGCACTAATTTCCTAGCAATAAGTTCTGGGTAGTCTAAGGACAGCCAAGGTTGAGAATTGTACTTCAGAGTATAAATTGATAGAAAGATAGACAGATAGGTAAGTCTCCATTCTGAAGCTTCTATTCTTAAAAGCACTTATAATTTTTCATTTTAGCTAGTTTCTGTTTCTTTACCTCCTCTTTCCATTCAGAATTGAGTTCAAGTATTTCTTCACCGCCATTTGTTTTCGAAGGCGGGTATAGTTGTCAGTGAAGACTGCATCGGAGTGGCGTTTGATTGGTCCCTGGTCTTCAAAGAAGTCATTGCTAAAAAATGTGAGAAAAATAAATCAAAGAAGTGATAAATATACCAAAGTTCCAATTTTCTTGGAGTCATATAAAAATTCTAACACCCACCTAATTTTCTATCACAAAAATATACTGAAAAAAATACACCTGAGTCTAAGAATAGGAGAGTGAAAAATAATCCAACATATGATGGAAGTTACTGGGAGTTTCTTAAAACACAATCTGCATTTACTGTGCACATAATTTATCAAAAAATAAAGGAATATTTGAAGTTGTGTTCTGGGAGGAAAAGTCCTTTATAAATAAATGCTTCTTTAGAAGCCTCGCCACCTGAAGTGTATCATCTAAATATTCCCCTATGGACCGTTTAAAGAAAGAATCTTCCAATGCTTGGTTTGAGTGGGAAGTTAAAAACAAGGGCTATGGTTAACACTAAAATTTGCTTTAGTTTATACTATGTCTTATTTATTTTTTACTGTGTCTACTTCAATTTAATTGAAGATTTACAAATAATTGCTACTAAAAAATATAAATATGTCAGAAACCAGTGAGGATTTTATTAACAGACAGTCTTACTTCCTTAATCCATGGGATTTGTATATTTTATTGAAGAATATAAATTATTTTTAATAAAATTGAACATTATAAAAGTTATAAATTTGCAACAAAATCAGTAAATTATTAATAATGTAAACATAATTCTCAGATTAAATAATCCTACTGTTTAATAAAAATAACAAATTCTCTTTACCTAACTCGTTTTCCAATAAGAGACTCAAGGTATTTTTTGGCAGAAAGTTGACCCAAGAGTCTGCTATAGTCATTGGTGAAAACTGCATCAGCATGTTTGGCATTCCTAAAACAAGGAAGAAAGGATAACCGTTACTTTGGAAATGGTTCTCTAAACTATTATTTGGGCTCCACCATTAAGAGAGAAAGTGATTAGCTTATGAAAGCTTCTCATAAAAACTTAATTCCTAAAGGAGATTTTCCAGTAACCTAATAATGTGTATTTTCTTTTCATTTATATCAAAATATATCCTATATTTTCAGCCCCAAACTTTGAAAAACTTGAAATTAGCTTTTGTAGAAGTATGTCCCAACATTAAATAATGCTGTCTGATAGAACTTATAAAACTAATTCTTCTCTAAGAAATATTGGTGGGAGAAATATAATATTTAAATTACTTTCTATTTCTTTATTCATGGTGCTTTATTTCTCCTACCCTTAATAATGATAGATATAAGGGGAAACAATCCTGATTTGTAGCAAACCCCTTATTATTCTTTTGCTATTCTTTCTGCCAAAATATTAGAAATAAAATCTCTTAAACTAGGGAGGACCTTAGGGCTTATCAACAAACTATTATTCCCAGATAAAGAAGTGTTTATATTTTGTCTTCAGTAGAGAGCTACTCTGTCTATATTCAAATGTTGTTCTGACAAATGGCTCTGTGATGGAATAGCTTTTATTATTAGGCATCTTTTCTCTACCTAGACATGAAACTCTTGCCCTAAACTTCCCCCTTTTTAGAATCCTAAATGCTGAAGTTTTATTAGAATTAGTGCAACTTCTCATGTTGACATTTTGTGTAACAGAATGCAAGAGAATGACTTGTTTATCCTGGCTTGTTACAACCTCTCTACATGAAAGCTGTGACCAGCCGTATAAGCAGCAATAAATCAGGCTGGGAAAACTGTACTGCTACACTGTAGAAACAGCTTCATGGAGACACGGAAATAAAACATATATTTCAAAATATGTGTTCAAAATACTACTCCATAAAAATGAACTCACCTGGATGCATCATAATAGGGTGTGTCATTTTCAGCTAATGCATTTTGCAAGATGTCAGTGTCTGCTTTTAATGAAGCCTGATCAGGTTCATCTGCTCCTTCATAGGGCAATCTGTCACCCAACACATTAGAAAATAATACAATACATTCTTTTCTCAGAAGGTGGTGCTCATACTTTTACAGTCATTTTAAATAAGACAGAATTGTGGGAAGTATTATTATATATTACATATATATTATTCTGATTAATGGGCTTTTGTAGTTTTTGAGACTGTAAATAATACATTTTTATTAATCTCCAAAAGAGATATAACTTTTACAAGCTGTATCCATCAGGTATGAGAACTACCTAGTTCACCCCTATCAGAGCATTAAGCAAAGTATGCTACTTTGATAATACCTACACAATGCAAAGTTAAATTATACAAGCAGAAAAATTTTATATAAAATAGGCACTTTGACAAATTCTTAAATATTCAGTATAAACCATGGGAGCAACTTGTGTGTTTGTTGATGTTTAGTATCATTTATTGTGATATGTTTCTCTGTATTGATCAAGTCCAAAGCACCCCTCTCTGAGTAGTAACTCAAATTCCATGAATTTTGTGGGGTCTCTGATTTCTAATCTGATGGGTTAATGGGTTTTAATAAGGGATGTACAATGCTTCACTTGAAAGACTAAGTAGAGCCATGCCTACACATGGGATATGACTCTTTATAAATGCATACAGATCATTCTGAACACCAGCACACCATGAAACCTATGTGTATGCATATTTTCTCTGTTAGGGTAAACCTCCTAGGGCTGTGTTGGCTGCTGGGCACTGGTGCGTCTTTTGGTGATGCAGTCGCTGGTGGTCAGTAACAAGCAACCCTCTGTGAATATGAAGCCAAGCGATCAATGCAAACTTCAGCATTCTTATGACTACTGAATTGTGGTAATATAACCATTCAGCCAGAATCATTCTGTTTAGTATCAAAGCAACATAGACCTGACTTTAAGCATACTTCATGAAGAACACCAAGAATTAAGAGGTTATTCACTCTATTGAGCATAAAACTACATTGAACAAAGAATCAGGAATGAAAAAATAAGAAAAAAAAGAAATGATGATTTTTGCCCCTAGATACAGTGGTGCCTGTAAACTGGAATGAAAGATCAAACTAATGTAGCTTTTATTTACTGTTTATTTCTTTAAGTGTATATTTCTTTTATTTCAGATGAAGCTTTAAATGAGTTGCATTATAATCTATGAATCTGAAATATAAAATACCACATAGAGGACAGTAAAAGTAAGGGTTTATAAGGGTCAAAACCATGTACATTAAAGTTCACTCATTGGGCAAGGGTGTCTCAGTAGACCAATCGTTCCACAATTCTTAATATTGGCAAATTAATTCTGCATAGATAGATCTCTCCAACATGAATACATATATGCATACATATGTTACTAGTCAACTACTATACTTTTGGTTCTTTACTGACTGATCTTACAAATAACCTAAATGAGGCAGGCAAGTAAATATCTATTTGTGTATCAGATACTGATCCGAACTGAGGTGACGCTGCATAAAAGCTCATTACTTTTCTAAAACTGGTTTCGAATGAATAGAAGCTCAAATTTTCCTTCCCCCTTGTTTGGAAAGGTGTGCTGTCCTGTCCATAAAGCTAGTCACCGAGGCTGTCTGTCTTGCCCTTAGAGGAAATTTCAGGGCTCAAAAAATCCTGCAGACCTGATGTTGGACAAAACTGTCAACAAAGGGTTTAGTAAATAGTACATAATTTTTAAAAATTAAACTGTCCAAAATAACAGATATGAGTTCCCATTGAAATGACAAAGGACCATTCAGCAGCCTGAATTGAAAGAGAACCTACCCCAGAGCAGAAGGGGCTGCGTGGGGAGCCCGCGCCACTGTCCGTGAGAAGAGCCCACTGCAAAGGAGCAGGAGCAGGAGCAGCCGGCAGTTCCTCTGGGTTTCCATCTCTGCACATGGAAAGGGAGAGAGTTTCACATCAGGTGTCCCCCACAGGTGTCACCACCCAGGTAATTCTGAGTGTCTAGCAAATTCTGAAGGCTCTAGCAGAGAGTTTGCAAAAACTAATATCCATCTTATAGGAACAGTTAAACTGCCGTATTATTACTTTTCAAATCAAGGGGATTTCTCTTGGTGAAAGGTGCTGGAATAAAGGTCAAGATCTCTTGCAACTGCCGCCTGTCTGTCACGGGTGCAAAACGTAGTCGGCCCAGGTAGAGCAGGGATGGCACGCTCCTGCAGTGCTGGGTATAACCCTGGGGACCACTTTCTATGACAATGATGTGGCATCCAATTTTAGTGTCTTCCTTAAGTAAGGAAACCACTTCCAAAAAATGGTCATTTCTTCTACTTTAAAAGTCTGCATCTGATTAATATAAAACTAGGTTATTGTATATTTAATTATGTACATGTACATAATAATGTATATATCTATCAGTATAAAAATTATTTTGTATATACTAATTTTTCCTGTTTTATTTGTAGATATTACTAGAAACATACTTTCCTCAGCCTGAGTTTGAACTACTTAATGCAATTAATAGTAAAAATTAACAACAAAAAAAGAGTGAATTACATATCACCACTGATATTATTCTTTTACAAAAGATAAATATATTAAATACTGTTTTTTAAACATTTGATCCACTTGCACATTTATATTTCTAAATAGTTTCTAGACAGAAACTCAGGACTTCAAGGCCTGTTCTCTTGCTGTCTATTAAAAACACGGGATTAAACTTAAAATAAAGAGGAAAGTAAATGCTTTCTACATTCATGTAAGCAACATGAAACATAGAAAGAACAGTAGTTAAGACAAACAAGTTGAAAGCTTCAAAGAAAAAGGTATCCACTTAACCCTTCACTCAAAAATCACATATGAGCAAAACAAACAAACAAACAAACCCAGAAAGCACCCTACTTGAATACAATACTTTAAAACAGTATTAAGTAAAAGAGCGTGAAGAAAAAGCATTTTTCAACTGAAAGAACTCAATTTATTCATATATGAGAATTTGAGGCACTTCTACACTTTCCAAGTGACTGAGAAACTTGTCTTTCTGTTGTTATAAAGAAACAACACTGTAAAAATTTTTTCCAGGCAGAGAAAAATGCAATATACCCTGAGAAAAGTTGCAGAGGCAGGGAGAGCTAAACAGAAGGAAGCTCAAGTCTGCTTACCTTGCCTAGGAGCGCTCCTGGAGAGCCTTGTCCTACAGAATACTGGAGCTGTCTCAGGTGCTGAAGTGCTGTGAGGCCAGGAAAGGCTCCACCAGTTCTCTGTCCTGAGAGCTGAACCAGAGCTTGGTGCTGGCTGAGGGCTGGGTATTACCGCCAGCAGCTGCTTTTCACTCCACTCTGGCCAGCACTTCAAAACCCATCATTTTATAGGGTTGGTACTTAGGGCTGAGCAATCACAAAGCTCTGAAAGACGTCACAGCTGTACTCCCACAGGGTGATAGGACTTGAAGTTCTTATTTAATTGTCATTATTTCTGATTTATATAAATATATAGTGAGTAACATCAAGACATAAGATGAAGAAAACTGACTTTTCCTTAAATAAAAACAGCTACCAAGTTTAATGGGAAATATTTTAAACTTTAATTAACAGTAATGATATAAGCAAATGAATTTGCGTCATAGCCATGGACACTGAGATTCCTTCAGAAATTTTATGGGCAAGAATACATTCAAAAAGCAACAAACGCTTATGTGTAGTAGGCTTACAAACATATAATTATCTTTTATTACAAGGCATCCATTCTCCTAAGGTCTTTATTTAATTTTTATGCTATTCATGTACATCCTGATTCACGTAATATTTTTTGAGATCTATCTTTATTTTAAAAGCATCTAGAAGCAATTTTTTATTTTCCTCTTATTAAAACTTCTTTATGTTGAAACTAATCCCAAGATAATAGTTCCGAAAAGGCTTGAAGCCAGTATATATGTACCCTGTTGTTAAACATAGTAGTAGCACTGTTATTTTACATTTCTATGGAATATAATTATTCCCAATGCCCTTTCACATACAGTTTCAAACAACTCCAAAACTATATTATCAACTTGTCAATGAATTTAATTTTATTTTCAAAAGTTGTATTCAGCATTTAAAAAATCTTTGCACTGCACAGAATTATTGTGTTTCTCCCCTATTCCTGAACACACACCTACAACCATCCCAGCTTTGGTACATTTTCACCTCAATCACTTAACGTGAGGCTGCAAAGCCCTAGTTGGAGAGCACGGGGAGTGTGCCCTGTTCTGACGGACACCATTTCCGTTTGTGAGTTTTCAATTCAGTGTAGCTTCGCATGCATTTAACCAGAATTTAAGATAAAAATACAGTCAAATGAACAAATTTATGAACAAGAAAGTAAAATGCTATTTTTAGTTTTATTTTTAAAATCTCCAGTGCAAAGATCCTTTTACATTTTTGTGCTTAAGTTCCTCAAGGGAGAAAAACATGAAAGTCCCTTTATTTCTTCTACTTTAAAACTTTAGTATCTATTTGCTTTCCTCAAAGTCAGACTGATCTAGTAAAAAAAAAAAAATCCTGCTATGCTTAATCATACTTTCTAATTTGGTTACAAGAAAAATTAAATTTCAAAATGTCTGGAAATTTGTTTCCCAGTTGACAGCTTTGATTTAAGCCAGAGTTCCTGTGACTTAATTCCAGGAAATCTTTTTTTCCCTGATTATTACAAATGAGAGTTTGAAATGATTCTCATATGGAATTTTTTTATCCTTATCTCTTTGTCATCCAATTCTCAGTGAAGTAACTTTATTAAGAATACCAATAGCAATGTAAGTTGGTTGAGAATCACAGAAAAGCTGATGCTGAATGATAAGCAGAACAATCTAAAAGAAAAAAGACATGAAAGTGATTATTATCTCATTACAAGAAGTGTTTAACATTAACAAAATATAATTACAGTAGTTTTTTCCCAATGGTAAAAAGAGTTTACCCCATTATAATCATAAAACACAAATGTAAAGAGAAATAATTCAATTACCTCTGGATAAAAAGAAACTAAAGAATTGTATTTTTCTTATGAATTTGAACAAGAAAGCAAAATTGAAATTTAAAATTGGATTATAGCACCATCTGCAGGTTCAAATGCTTAATCCACAGATTTTTTAAAAATGTGTTTCTTCTCCTTTAAAAATTTTTTAAAAATTTTTATTTACTGATTTTAGAGGGACAGGGAAGAGGGTGAGAGATAGTGAAACATTGACTTGTTATTCCACTTTTTGAGCATCCATTGGTTGTTTCTTATATGTGCCCTGACCTGGATTGAACCAGCGACCTTGGCATATCGAGAAGACACTCTAATCAACTGGCTACCTGGCCAGGGCCAGAGATCGATTAATTAGATACATTGTGGATGCTTCCAGAAAAATAAACGTAAGAAAAAATATATAGATTAATTTATTAAAATACTTTACTATGAAACTCAGTGTATACAAATATGCAAATGTGAATTTAGTATTTAATTCCCTCCCTCAATTATGACATATATTTCTATAATTTTCATATATTTTCAGTGAAACTTACTATCTACCTTAAGGCTTCTCTGTAAAGTGATGTTTATAAGAAGAACTATCATTTCTTCATTCTGATAGAACAAATCTCCAAGATTCTTCTTGTACAGATAAACAAACCTATGTCCAGAAACTAAGTAATGTTTGCAAACCCACAGTGGTGATTAATTACAAATTGAGATGGGAAGCTAGATCTTCTGATCTTCATTTAGCTTTCTTTCTGTTAAAAACTTGTCATTTTCTGTAACTGTTTTCGCAACTGTTGACACCAACAGGCCAGATAAGAAAAACAAAAAAGTATAAAAATATTGGCATCTCCTTTCTCCCTTTCTTACCAACAAAATGGAAGGCAGAAAAATAGAGCTGGCGTTCTAAACCAAAACACACTGGATATAGGGAAATGTGGTAGAAGGGGCTTTCAAGCTCAGGAGGCAGCAGAATCCTAGATCCACCCTTTCTTTCTCCACGCAAAGAGTTAATAGAGGACTCTTATTGCTGTCACAGATGAAATGCCTCAGAGGTGCTCTGTGGCCTCTTTGAGAGACATCTTTGTCTGCCTAACTCACCCTAAGACACACGCAGCCTGCATCTACCCACTCTCTCAGGGTCATCCTGGGGGTTAGTTCTAGACCAGAAGTGCGCGAACTTCTGGGCGTGAACCGCATTGGGCTCGACTCTCTGGTTTTCACATCTTTCAAGTTATGAATGATGTTTATATTTTTAAGGCTAAAGAATTAATATACAAACAATATTTTGTGATCTGAATATTATATGGGAGTTAAATTTCATTGTTCATAAACACATTTATATTGGACATGGAAATGCTTATCACATATGTATTATCTATGGCAGGTGTTGCATTACAATGACCAAGTTTAGTAGTTGTGACAAAGACTATAACCTGCAAAGCCTATAACTGACCCTTCAGAGAAAACTTTGTCAGCTTCTGGTCTAGAGTCACCTATTTGGGAAGGTATTTAAGAAGTCATGTTTATATCAATATTCTTAAGTCCCATAGTTTGCAAAACATGTATCTGGATATATGCATATACATGCACTTTTAATATATATTATGTGTAAATAATAAGATATATGCATATGCCTGTAATAGCTTGCACAATAATAATACAATGTACACTAACTGTATACTCATACTAAAAATATATGTATACAGATGCCTATATATAATATTGGTGTTTGTGTATTTTTTCATCCCTTCAACTTAGAATATTTGGATTTTCTTCTAGGATTCTGTATTGTCGTGTCCATGATATGATAAAAATAATACTATGACAAAGGTCAGATTTTCCCTTAAAGTTCCCTATTGCAGTTCATTCTGGATGCTAAAAGAAGTTTATAAGTATTAAGCAATTGGATACATGACTGAAATGGTATAGCAGA